TGGAATCATTTGATTGAGGAAAATCTTCTGCTCACCATGAAAATAATTATTTACATGTATTTCATCTGTATGCTGAATAGGCTTGTAATACAAGTCCTCTCACTTTAGGAAGAATATTGTCTTCCAGAAGTATTTACTGACTCTGGCCCTCAGCACACTTCTGGAGATGAAAGCTCCTGTAAAGCTGCATCGTACAGATGAGGAAACCTGGGCAGAGCGCTCTCATGGGAAATCAGTGTCAGGAAAAGACCAGAACTCTGTAATTCTCTGTTCTGAAGGCCATGCTGCTTTCCTTGTAACTACACTGTTGCTTTCTAGCATTATTGGATTATAATTAGCCTAGATTCAAATTTTACTGACCTCAGAATGTAATGCAAAATATCAAGGCGTATTCTAGTAAATAGTGCAGTTCAGTCTTAAATCACTGATCGTTTTTCTCTAGGTTAGTTTTGGCGTGAAGCCCCATTTCTAGTTCAGCGGAGTGTGCATTTCAGGGCTGCCCCACTTCTTCATGTGCTGCCCTTTTTTTCTTGAGAATGAGATAGAGGGTCAGCAGGAGGCTGTTGTCATACAAGTCCTCCTATCAGCCCATGGCATCCTCCATCGCCTTCCCCAGGTCTGCAGTGTGTCAGCCAAACAGGTAGAGAACCTCAAGTTCCTGCTTTCATCACTCCAAGAAAGAACATTACTGGGATAAGGGCACCTTCCAGCTTCTGGCTCTGCTTGCAGTAAAGGTGTGGGTCTTGCCTTGCTGCCCCCCCCCCGCTCTCAGCAGCCCCTGTTGTTCTTCTCCCTCATTGTCTCAGAAATTTGAAGTTTTTCAATGGGTTGCATGGGTTTTCTACCTTCTCGTCCTTGATTCTTTTGTTCTCCATCCTCTTTGCACCATGCTTCTCTTCTAACATTGCTGAATGTCTTTCCTCTTTTTATTCCTTCTGTTCCATTCTTCTCCTTTGATTAATGTGCAGTTTTATTTTTGCTTCCTAATTTATATCTTTACTGATATTTTTCTGACCTTTTCTCTGCCACTGATAGTGCTCTCAAATGCTCTCGGCAGCTTCTATTTCCATCAGAGCCTGACTCTTCTGTATTCTTTCCTTTCTTCCCAACCTTCTCCCTTTTCCTATTTCTTTTCTCTGTCTCCAGAAATGCTGCCCAACCTCATAAATAATGAAGAATTCTTTAGCAGCCTCTTCTGTGAGCCATTTTCTGTCAATAACTGCATATAGCCAGGAATGTGTTTCACCTCTTGCTGTATAATTTAGAAAAGTGCTAAAATGCTACTTTTACTTCTGAAGATTTCTTACTTGTTTTAGTAATGCCACTTCTCACCTTTGCCTGTCTGACATTCAAGAGATTTTATGAAGTTAGCAGGCAACAGGAGATGCACACAGGTTGGAAGGTGGGTTCCTTACCTGATGCTTACCATAGGTTGCTCCTCTGTGCCTTGGAACTAATGCTGCTGTTCCTCTCCGGGCTCTCAATGTGTTCTACTTACTGTTGTGTAAGAAATGTTTTGAATTGCTTGGCTTTCAAGCACTGTCTGAAGTGAAATATTACTGTGTGCCCTTCACCATTTTGAATTCTCTACCACTGAAATACTGCAAATCAGCCATGCTAAATGTCTTAAGAAGATTAAGATCAAGCTTTTTAATATTGCATTTAGCTGAGCTCATTTGTAACCCTTTCAGACTGTGGCCCACCTTGGGAGATGACAGGACCAGAATCGTTGCAAACCTTCATGCAGCATTACCTGAAATATTTAGAATTTCTCCCTGGCTCAGCACTTTCATATTACTGACTGACTTACACAGATTTTAAACTGAATTTCTTTTTAATACATTGCATTCATTTTGTGGCTTAGAGCAAGTTCTGTCTCTCTTGCCCAACTCTTTGCTTTCCAATTGCATTGCTGTATGTGTCTTTCTCCAAATTCTAAATAACTGGGATTGTCACCAAGTTTAAGTTTACATATACTTAAAAATGTAAGTTCAAGTCACAGAAAACCACCTGGGTCTCATACTAAATTTCACTTAAATTCAAGAGACGAATGTGCACAGAATAGTGCATAAAATTCTGTTATTCCTTTTATTTCTTTATTGTCCCCATGTATTTTCCATCACTGGTCAGGGTGTAGGTGTCCTGCAGCAGCAAGGATTAACTCAGGTTCAGCTGTCTTGTATGCACTCTCCTTCCAGGTCCAGCAAAGGGCAAAGCTCTGGGGTTTCCTGAAAAGCAGAAGAGTGTTTTGAAGACTTTCACCACTGATTGCACAGTGGAGACTGAGCAACTCCAAGAGCATTGTACTCAAATGCAAATATAGGTATGAGCAGGAAGCAGATGGTGCCTGCGTCCACTTTGTGGAAGTTTGCAGCTGGAGTTTGGCCATTCTGGTGCTTTCATGTTCTTAGGATGAAATTTAGACTGCATTCATACCATGCCCAGTTCTTACTTTTCCTTTACCAGATGCAGACCATTTCTAGTAAAAATCCAAGAGCATTGCAAATACCTAAACTAAATAGCTAAGCCAGACTCTGGAATCAAATTAGGTTAATTTTCTCCAAAAGGTAATATCTCGAAAGAAATTTTTTTTATCAGGCTTCTATAATATTTTGCAGTCCTTCCTAAGGAAATGGAGAATATATAATTAATACTGTTTAATAAAGCTCCAAAATGCAACAGATGCAGCCAAAAGTGCACGTCATTTTGAGCAGATCTTTACAGAACAGACATTCCATATTGTGTTCATCTTTTTCCACGATCACTGCTATGACAATCTGGTGTGTTTAGCAGTTGTTGCTGAGTAAGGCAGACTGGATTGTATATGGCTTTCTCCATGTCAGCCAAGAAACGTAGCGCTCTTTGGTGTGGTAAAGAGGTGGTGTTGTGTTAGTTAGTCCTTTCTACCAGGATCTACGCTAACGTACAGGTGTAAGAAGGCATTGCCACCTGTAGGTGCACATGCCAAAAGCTTGCTTTAGGTTGTAACAGAAATGAGTGAAAATGAAACGGCTGCACTTTGGAAAAGTCACAGGAAGGGATGGGATGAGCTGCTGGGGAGAAAAAGATGGCAGAGTTCACAAAATGGGTCACTGAAACCTCCGAGTATTTTATAAAAGCCAGATATTTCAGAGGAGATGAGGAAGGAGGATCACCTACATCAGAAAACCCTTAAGAAAGCCTCCAGTGCAGAGGAAACATTTCCTCTTTCAGCATTCCTTCTGGGTGCCAAATTTTCCTTCTGTTCCTCCCCACCTATTAAACAAAGCTGCAACTTCCAATTCCTATCAGTTTTCCTAAATATGTGCAGCTTATGTGGCTTCTCCGAGCCGCGAGGCTTCACGTTCTCCTGCCAGCTCCTTGACAATGTGGCTCCAACAGCATCCTCCACTTTTGGCTGCCTCTGGGACCCCTGGTCTCTTCTGGAAAGGGAGAGGGAAAGCATTTCCTTTTCTGGAAGGACTTTTTGTGACTGAGAAGCCGATAGCGCGGCTGTGAAAAGCTTGGAAGGATCCATGTGAGCTCTGTCTGTCGGGGCCCATGGTGAATGGGAAGCTGCGGGCCTCAGTGCTCCTCAGGATCACTTACACACATCATGAGCACCTGCCCGAAAGGGAAACTGAGGCAAACAGAGAACAGGGAATAGGCTTGGACTGATAACTTACCTGCCAGAAACAGGTGGATCTCTCATTTCAAGCAGCTCTTGTGTTTTTGCAGCTAAAAGAAATTCTCCGTCCGAATACTCTCTTATCCACTTCAGTTACTGGAACCACCGTGAAGACTCCTGCTTTGCAGATGTGAAACAAATTAGGAAGCTTATGCTGTTGCATTCCTCTTTATTATTTGGAACAAAACAAATCTGGGAGATGCAGAACTTCTTAAAGTAATTATTGTCTGGCTTTCTTTTAGAAAAAAAATGCATCTGATTCAGAGAACTTCCCGGCTCCTGACAATTTTTGCCGCCTAGGAAAGTCATATTAATTATAAGATTAATTTGTTTTAATTCCCTAAACCAAAAATATTGACTGAATGAGAAATTAACACATGTAGAGCTGCAGATGTCATTTGGCTTCAGATTTCCTGAACGATATAATTATTAATCTTTCATATAGCGGTGTGACAAACCTACAGATTCACTCTGGAAAATCAGTCTGTGAAGAAAGACATCAGGGCCACTGAGCTGTAGGTTTTCCCTTAGCACAGGAAGGAAAACAGTGGAGTTTTCTAAATAATAAATAAAACCAAAATATCTTAAAGGCATATGGCGCACATCTGTCTAAAATACAATAATTTAAAGCAGAATAATTAGATGTGAGATGTATGTAATATTCACCTTAGCTTGAGGAACTATCTTATTTTGTTTTTAATATAATCTACCAAATTTTGGAGATTTAGATCATCTGTGCTATCTTTTTAACCATTTAACTGTCTTGGTAAAGGCAGTAGACGAACAAATTGTTTTTTTCCACTTTGTTATTAACCAAATTTGGTTTTGCCTTCTATTATTTCTTTCTTTTCTTTTTCACCTGAAGCACCAAAGGGATCAGGAGCTTTCCATCAGTATACAGATTCATGACATTCTGGTTGGGGAGATCCTATTTTTTTAGCAAAAGTTTTTTAGTTATGTGTTACTCCTGAAAAAAAATAAAAATGTGAAATGTACTTTAGGATAAGGATGCAATCTCCTATAAAGAATAAGCATAATCTGGAAAGAAGATTGTATACATAAGGAAAAACTAGAAATGATCATGGCTTTTTCCCACCTTATCCTTTCTCTAGTGTGATGTTGCATTGTTTGAGGACAGGGAAGAGGCACTAGCATCGCATGAAGCAGCTCTGTTCCTGAGTGCTGGGTTGAGGAAAATATTCAAGCATGCTGTATAAACAAAGAGGGAATTTATACTCGAAGTAGAACTGAAGATAAATACTGTTCTGGTAAACAGAAAACAATTTCAGAAGTAAACACAAGTGATGCTGAGATAAGTTCTGTTTATTTCAAG